ACCTCCAGTTTTTGCTTTAGTGTACTCAAGAATATAACGTTTCAACATCTTTCTTTTCGATTCCAGTCTACCAGTCATATTCTGATTGGTCCTTTGTCGACATTTGCCTACGAAAGATCTGGGAAGCAATTTCGGAAACCTGCATGTTGTTCTTTTTCATAAAAATACGAATAGCCGTTAAAAAGATGTGACTCATTTGGGCTGTAGTTTGATTTTCAGTAGATTGTAGGGGGGCTGGGTACTCCCATTTATTTGCTATACGGGGACGTGCCGCTGGCCAGGGTATGGTTTTTGGCCTTGCTGACTTAAACAGGCTCTACAATTTCTTATAAGTGTGGGTAACTACTCCCCCCCCCCCCACTCCCCCCAAAAAAGGAATTAGTGCTTTATGAGACACATACCGCAGAAATATAAAGGAGCAATTCACAAAACTAAAAGCGAAAAACTCGCAACATATGTTGATTTGGATACGCGACAGAATCATATAATAGCCGACTTTAGATATTTTGTGTCAATGAACATGCACAAAAGATTTGCAGACGAGGCTCAGGGGAAATAAAAGAACTAGACGCCCTTAGAGCATGAAGTCGGGCTACATTGTAGCTATTTTTGAAAATTGAGAAAGACAGGATGTTACATGGGTGCGCGTATAGGCGAACCGGAGTGAAAGGTTTTAAAACGCGACATAATACATAGATAGATAGATAGCTTGGTAAAGAGTTAAAACTMAAGTCGAAMTAGCCTACGGCTAGCCCGACTAATAAATCAAGATTATCCATTGTTTTCCYGGAGCCTCGTGTGAGTTCTTTTGTACATAGTAGTCATCGAACCAAAATATCTTCTTAAGTTGACTAAGAGAAAGCAAATAAAACTGTTATTTAGTTTACAACATAATTTGCTTTTAAAGGTGATTATATGATAAACCGAATATTACACGGTCGCTTCGAAATACGGATTTTATCTTCTCGTGTTGTTGAAAATATCTCCGGTCGCTTCGAAATACGGATTTTATCTTCTCGTGTTGTTGAAAATATCTCCGGTCGCTTCGAAATACCGATTTTATCTTCTCGTGTTGTTGAATCGAAAATATCTCCGCGTAGCATGTAAAATCCTCTATTTATCACTTAAACACAAATATTCACAATGTCTTTTTTATGAAATTGAGCTGCCACTCAATATATAGTGTGTGCTTTGATTTGACTCACATTTGGATTGATTTTGGCACATTTTTCTTCGAGGTGTGTRGTTTACCTGTAGGGGAACAAGGACGAAAACTTACGTACGGGAACCCTGTGTCGGTTCATGAAAATCGAATCAGCCCGTTCTAAAAGATATCTTGAAGATACTGAACATGAAGATATTGAATAATTGACACACTATTTTTTATTCATTTGTATTTATTGATGTCAAAAGTCATAAAAAATATAAAAAAATGAACGTCAATATCAAAACATTGGAGCTTTAACACGAGTTGCAACTTGTTTTACAGTAAACTCTTACGTAAGCGCTGTATTTGCTCTGATTGTTGCAGTAACCACGCTGTTTCCACGTTTGGCAGTCTTGGAATTTATCTTTACATTGAGAGCCTATAGGAGAAGGGTACAGGGATAAGTTAAGAAAAGTAGATTGTTTTTAAAAATTTAAAAATTCTCAAAACATTTGTGAAAAATTGTTTAAATGTATAGGAAAAATACTCGTTAGTGCCCTTTATGCCCTGTATTCCAATAGTATAATTATTTCTTCGCTCATTCTTGACCCCCTCATTCTTGATCTAAAAATAGCGGGCTTCCTGTCTTAGATCAGTAAGAGACTAGTGACGAATCTGGGAAAGACTGAAAAATGGAGTGCATTTTTTTCCTCCTCCAGTCCTCTCTCTTCCTTATTTTTTTACACAGGGAAACCGATGAATAAAAAAAGTGAAGAGCGAGATTTCGTGAGATGGAGGCTACAGTGCAGTCATCCGACTATTCTTCGAAGACTTACTTTTTTTGCAATTGCAGCTCTTTTGACACGATCTTTTCATGTAGTTAGCGTGTTTAGCATTAGTACAGTAACCTCTAGATTTCCAATAGGGACACCAGCGATGATTGTCTTTGTATCTGCAACCTTTGAGGAAATAATTTATTTATACTGAGGTTTTATACGAATATGTTTGCGCTTTATCAAAAATCAGTCTTACGACCATTCAATTTTTCACGTACTCTCCAGTTTACTAATAAGCTAGTTAAAAACATAACAATTAACCATCTACCGTACAGT